AGGCAAAAAGCTGGCTTCAGCTTGAACCCATCTGGCTCCAAAGACTCCTTTCTTCTGCCACTTCCTTCCACCAAGTATTCATTCGTCCATTTAGTCCTTCATTCATGCAACATTTATTGCACACCTACTATGGGACTGACAGTGTGCTAGGAGTGAGGGAAATCGAGACGAACAAGACAGCATTGCCCTTGTGGAACTCAGCCTACTGGAAAGCCAGAAATTGAGAAACAAAACTTAGTGATAGCTAGCCAGTATGATGAGGGCCGCCTGGAGTGGTTCAGAGTTCTACAAGCTTGCCGGGCAAGCAGCCTGGCCCACCTGCAGCCTGGCTAAGAACTTTATGCTTAAAGCCATCAGAGCAACTGAGGGTCTCAAGCTGAAGGGTGAGGCTATCAATTTAGCAGCTTGAAATGATTGCTTTGCTCCTGCAGAGTGGAAAACAATGAGACCAGAGGGCTGCCCAGAGCAGCAAGGAAGGACAAGGGTGAGGAGGGAAAGCACAGGTGGTGTCAGAAGAATTTTAGGAGTGAGGGGCCACAAAATTTGATGACAGTCTCTAAAGACCACTGCCACACCAATCTTTGTAGTATTAACTAATAATCATATAAATAGCTCCAGCTGTGTGCACCATCATAAGCAATTTTTAAATGAACTCTGATGCTCTCAATAATCCTGTAATGAATTATTGTTACTATCCCCATTTCACAGATGAGAAAACTGAAGCACAGAAAGATTAAATAACTTGCCCAAGGTCAGGTGGCATTGCTGAAATTAGAATCCAGCCTTGCTCTAGAGAGTTCACACTCTGAATCAAAACATTTGACTGCCTCTCAGACATGCTTTTAGCTGAGGTTGCCCACTAGCCACAGCCTCAGACCCCCAGGCAGGCTGGGACCCAACAGGAGAGCATTACTCAGCCATTGCTGCATCCCCAGCCCTGGTCAGAGAATACCAGCGGTACCCACCCCCCACCCAACCTTTTTCTGTGCTTCAGACAGACACTCTGAGAGCTAGACCAAGCCCCAGGCCCAATGTAAGTGGGCCTCTGCCTTTGTTCCAGAGCCACGTGAGATCCGGTGCCCAGGCTCATAGAAGGGATGACAAAAACTGGCCTTCCTGGCCACTTGATTCCGTGACAACGAGCCAGACCCCACTGCTCCCAGGGCACCCAGAGGTCCTGAGCAGGCCTCCTTGAACTGCTGCCCGGAGCACAGCAATGGGGGCCTCTGGGACAGACGCTGACTTTGTAATCAGCGAAGCCAAAGCCCTGGAAAGTAGAACTACGCGTAGGTGTGATAGGAAGAGCACTGCACCAGGAGTCAGGGAGACCAAGGTCTAGTTGCCTCTTACAAACAGTGGGGGGAAGAGGGGACGCTGGGCGACAATGGCGCAGGTCGCTGCCTGCGCTAATAGTTCTCTTAATTACACAGGCCCTCACCCTGGGTTATTTAAAATAATAATAAACCCAGTATATATCAATATAGCAAGTTTTGTGAAAAATAATTACATTTTCTAAAACAAACAAAATAGTGAAAAAAGTAGCGTTGTTTTACATTTTTGCAAATCTCTTTCATGTCTGGCTTAACAGAAAACAGATCCTCATATCTCCTTCCACATTCAGTGTGTTATTACATGTTGTTTTGGTTAAAGTATGCGAAGAAAAGTTGGCCTCATAGAGAAATGTAGTTTAAAAGGAGAGTATTTTAATACGCTTTCAGATACCATGGATATTCTTCTTTGATAAAATAAAATTGACACATGGCAGTTCCTTAAGTGTTGGTTGTAATGTAGAATCTGAATCCATGTCAATAAACTTTTCTTACTCTGTTACCTTAAAGTCCATGGATCTATCATGCACTTCAAGTAGATGTTGGAATTATGCACCATTTTGACCTTGTAGACTCCCTGAAAGAGACTTGGGGACCCTCAGGAGAACCCTGATCTCTCTTGGAGAACCATCGAAGTAGGCAATAAAAAAGTAGAAACCTATAGGATTTGATAACATAATTAACAAGTTTGAGTGACGAAGTATCTATATAGGACTTTGCTCACAACAAACCACGAATAAACATTCTTTTAAACAAACGGTCCCCTCTGTCAGCTGGGGGAGATGTGTGCCTGGACAGACTGCAGACACTCCAGATGGACAGATGCCCAGCATGACAGGTGTTCCTTCCACCCAGCTGCCCAGGCCCTGGAACAGCTTCATCAGGAAGGGGCACCGCATTGGAGTGCAGCCTCCTCCCTTCTTGGGCTGCAGAGCCCGGGTAACCAAACGGCCTGGCCCCAGAAGGAGAGGGCCCCCAGGGTGCATCCACCACCAGGGCACCATTCCTGTGAAGAGCTTCCCTCCTCGATCTCCTCAGGACCTTGCCAAGGATCCCCAAGGCAGAGCTGGGTAAACACTGCCCAGCCTCCCCTTCCAGGAAGCTCCCTGCCTGGCCCCTCTGTCCCTCAGAGCCCCTGAGGCTGCCAGGTACGGCTAGCGCTGCTCTCGGAGCATCTGCAGTTCTTCCACAGCCAGCAGCAGGAACAAAGCCTCCCTCTGTCCGGGCCAGGCACTGGAACTCCAAGAACAGCACAGGCGATCAGCTGCCCAGGGAGCCAGCACCCTGTACAAGCACCTGGGGAGCTTCAACACCCCGCCCCTGCCCCGCGGTGCCCAAGGCCACACCCCCCTTGGAGTGCAGAGCCTGCTGGCCAAGCCGAGAGCCTCCTGGGAGCAGGGCTGAGGGACAAGCTGAAGTGCAGAGAGCAGAGTCCCAAACCAGAGCCAGGGCCAAGGAGTCCGAGGAAGCTTTCAAAACACCCACAACACTTTTACCCTAAAATCACACATCCCTTGAAGATCTAACATTCCTCAGTGCCTTTTATGTGCTGGCACTGTGCAGGGGGCTGTCTTGCCACGCATCAATTTGTTTGCCCCTCACAATAACTGCTGAGGAGGTTCCAGCTTACAAACAAGGAAATGGAGCGTCAGAATGGCTAAGTACTTGCCCAAGGTCACTCAGCGAGTGTGCATTTGGACTTGAACCTGACTCTTCCTGTTTGCGGAGTCCAGGCGCCTGCACCATTGCTACACTATGCTGGCTGACCCTGTGGGGACCCATCCTCCATCTCCGGAGTGGTCACCCACAGAATCTCTTCATGCTAGGGGGCAGTAGAAGAGGGAAAAGGGGGAGAAAATACCCTTAGCTTGTTCTACAGGGACCCAACTGGATCGTCCTGGACATCAAAAGATATTCTGTCCATCCCCAGGTTCCCTCCGCTGAATTTTCTTCTGCCTCCTCTGCCTTGTGTCTTCTCACAACTAGAGCAGATGAAGCAGAGACTATGTCTTGTGCATTTCTGTCTCCCCTTTTGTGCGCGTAGATGCTCCATGTGTGGTGAATATTAAGAGGAGGGTCCTTCACCTCTCTCCACTACCACTGCAAGGACAGCCAGGAGCCTTGGAAACATGCAGGAGGAAACATGCAGGGCCAGGGCAGGCAGGGGGCGGAGGCAGTGGGTAAAGGCAGGAGCAGAAAGGGGCAAGGGTCCCGGCACTCCTGCCTCCCAGTGAAACCAGCCCCCAGGGCACCCCAAGCCCTCCCACAAGACAGCTCCCCAGGGTACCCTCCCCAGAAAATGCTGGGAGAGCACATCTGAGCCACCCCGCCCATAAGCCTGTTGTCCAAAGCTCCTCTCACAGGAAAGCCAATGGAGAGCAGGACCCAGACAGAAGGAAAAGACCCCAAACATAGGCTCCGGAGGTTGCTCACCCCCGTCCCGATGCCTCTCTGTATCTCCTCCTCAGTTCCTCCCTCCTCCAGCTCCCAGGGGAGATAGACTCTCCTCCCACTGCATTTCATGCCCGGGGTTGGAATTTACTTTAGGGCAGAGTAGATACGCCCTGGCCTTTGGAGCCCAACACCTGGATTTGAATCCCGGTTCCTTCACCTATTAGCTGTGTGACCAAGGACCAGTTACTTCACCTGAGCCCCCCAGAGTCAATAAGCCTGCAGGCTCAGAATCCAGACGGCCAGGCTGCATCCGGGCTCTGACTCTGGAACCAAACTACCTGGATTCGAGTCCCCACACCAATGAATGGTTACTTAACCTCTCTTAACCCCTTTCGAGTAATTGTATCTGTAAAGTGGGGATATTAATAGTATCTACCCACCTTACAGCATTACTGTGTGAATTAAATCAGGTAATTTATGCAATGTGCTTAGAACAGACTTGGCACACAGCAAGCACCCAGCTAAGTATTAGCTATCATTAGAAATAGTAGTTGATAAGGTTGTAAAGTGCTGTGCAGTGTCTTTGGCACTTAGGAAGAACTACTAAATAGTAGTTATGGCTACTTAACCCCCACTAGGTGATGATGTTCCTCGAGGTGGAGTTTGGGTCACATCCATCTCTGACTCCCCAGCAGCCAGCACGGTGCCCAGCACCAAGCAGGAGCTCAAAAAATGCTTGAGGACTGAGGGGTAAAGAACTGCCAGCCTGAAACAGCAGGGTATGGGCAGCCAGGAGCCGCCTGCTGGGAGAAGGGAGAACCGAGGTGTCAGGGAAGAGAAAACAGAGTGAAGGGAGAAAAGTCCAGACGGAGCGATAAGCGAGCGAAGTGAGTGAGAAAAGGAACAGGAGATGCTGTGGCGAAGAGAGATAAGGAGGAAGGATGGAGAAGGCAAGGGGCAAGGGAAATGTCGAGAGAGGTGAGGGAGCCTCGAGGAAAGGCGGGAGGCGAGACCGGGGCTGGGGCCTCGGAGGCTGTGATGTGGAGGGGGGCGCCTGAGTCGGCGCTGGGCAGGAGGCGTGGGAGCCGGGTGGGAGGGGCCGGTGGGGCTCCACCCTGCCTCCCTGCCTCCCTGCCTCTTTGCAGCCTTGGGGCGGGGGCCGCGGCTGGAGATTGGCTGGGGCAGCATCGAGGCCCGGGCTGGAGTCCTGAGGTGGGAGGTGCCAGGATCACTCAGTGAGCCCGGGAGGCTAGCAGAGCCTGCCAACCACTTGGACGTCTTCGGCTGCAGTGGCTGGAGGGGAGCATCGTGGCGGCAGGAGCACGCGGGGCAGCTGGGGGCGCCGCGCACCAAGCAGCCAGGACTGCGCAGCCATGCGGGCGGCGGCTGGGGGAGTTTGGGCGGCAGCGCTGGCCCTGCTGCTGGGGGCGCTGCACTGGGTGCCAGCGCATGGCCAGGAGTACGACTACTACGGCTGGCAGACAGAGCCGCTGCACGGGCGCTCTTACTCCAAGCCACCAAAGTGCCTCGACATCCCTGCCGACCTGCCGCTCTGCCACACCGTGGGCTACAAGCGCATGCGGCTGCCCAACCTGCTGGAGCATGAGAGCCTGGCCGAAGTGAAGCAGCAGGCGAGCAGCTGGCTGCCGCTGCTGGCCAAGCGCTGCCATTCGGACACGCAGGTCTTCCTCTGCTCGCTCTTCGCGCCCGTCTGCCTCGACCAGCCCATCTACCCGTGCCGCTCGCTGTGCGAGGCCGTGCGCGCCGGGTGCGCGCCCCTCATGGAGGCCTACGGCTTCCCCTGGCCCGAGATGCTGCACTGCCACAAGTTCCCCCTGGACAACGACCTCTGCATCGCTGTGCAGTTCGGACACCTGCCCGCCACCGCGCCTCCAGGTAGCGCAGCCACCGCCGTCCCCGTGCACTCCGATGGCCTTGGGTGCTGGGCATCAGTTCTGCGGTCCCCTTAGCACAGCTCTGCGGGGCCCCCCACCCCGCCCCGCCCCTCGAGGTGTCAACTCTGTGTGTGTGTGTGTGTGTGTGTGTGTGTGTGTGTGTGTGCGCGCGCGCGCGCGCAATTCGCCTAGCCTGGAGCAGCCCAGGGATTGTCTGCCACAGCCTTCCAGCCTCCCCACCTGCCCGGGGACTGCCACAGCAGTGCCTCCCTGCGGCTCCGGACATTCCCAATGGTTCTCCCCATCCCAACTCCGTTCTGAGAGCCCTGCAGGCTTCCCCCGCAGTGCCCACCTTCCCAAGCTGCTGGAATCCCTGGGGCGATCCCGATAGCCTCCCCTCATCCTAGGGCATCCTGATAAATGCCTCATTGGCTTTCTCAGCTGGCAGTCGCTAAACAGTGCCTTTCACCTCCCCCACAACCCTGGACCCCAAGACACTGAGGCACGGATCCCACCCGATTTGGGGACCTGGGGAGAAGAGGAGGGCTGAAGGAAGTGATATGCTGAAAGGCTCGGGGCTAAGTGCACACCTGGGCTGCGATCTCCCCACTTTCTGCTCCTGGGAACGCTAAATTGTCCCACTCTCTTCCCCAGTCCTTCAGACTTGGAAACCTTGGGTGAATCTCGGAGCAGGAGAAAGAGCAGACCGCCAGGCTCTGCCCCTTAGCGGACCTGCTTAACTTTGAGCATCAGTTTCCCCATCTGTAAAACAGGAAGAGAACCCTGGTTCCTGCAACCTATGGCATCCTAAGTGCTGCTTCCCACCCCCCTCCCAAGTCCCACTACCCCAGATTCCGCCCTAGTCGCAGCCTCCCCTTCACTGTGTGTCCCCTTCCCCCTTCTCCCACTCGCCGTCTGCCCAGCTCCTTCCAGGCAGAGCCACCCCCAGCTGGCACCAGACAGAAGGATAAACCGTGGCACTGAGCAGAAAAGCTTGCCTGGGCAGTTCAAGTGAGAGTCCAAGGAGCCCCTGACACTGGGACTTCCCTAAAGGGCAGCACTAACCTCACCCCCAGGGCTAACCTCACCCTCGCATCCCCAGTCGGTTGTACCCACCATGCCCTCTCCTGAGAGTCAAGGTTGGGTGGGGGGCCTGTGACTATGGAGTTTTAGAGACGGGAACACCCCCCCCGCCCCTCCACGGGTTGAAAATGGGAGAAAGAGCCAGCTCCAGCAGAGACAGCAAAGTCCCCAGCAGCGATCCCAGCTGGTTCCTTTTCCAGTTTTCTTAGAGCCCAGCCATTAACAGCCTGGAAGGCAGGGAAGCCCAAGCTCCTGGGCCCCACCCTTGCGCTCCCACCCTCTTTGAGCCCCTCTTTCTCCTGTGTGGGGGCGCCCACCTGGAGACAGACATAGAAGAGCAGAGGTCAGGTGCTGTATGGTGGCCTTAGGACCAGAAGCAGCTTGAGTGTGTGGCCAACAGACAAAACTCAGAATATTTCATATAAAGAGTTTTGGCTTCCTTTGAAAAGTCAGAAATTCTGGCAGTGCTAAGCTGCCCACTTCAGAAGGGCGGGCACTCCGCTGGCACAGTCCTTGCCCCGCCAGCGTCGCTTGTCTACCCTTGAGCCAGGACCCTGAATCCTAGAAGGACCCCCTGAACACCCCCACCCTGCCCTAGCCTGGGAGCCACGAAGCCTGTGTTCTTACAGCTTTGCAGACTCAGGCAGCAACTCTGGGCCTCAGTTTCCTTTTCTTTAAAATAAAGAAACACCTACTTCATAGGCTGAGGATTAAATGAGACAAAATTTAGAAGACAGTGCACATCCCGGCTGCAGCTGCCAGGGTCGTGGGTGATCATGCCCCCCCAGGGAGCTCCATCCCTGCACAACCTTGTCTCTTTTCATGTTACAACTACCAGTGAGCAGGCGCTGTTATCACTACCATCCTCCCGTTTCCTGATGAGGAAGTGGAGGGTGGGCAGGGGGAGGTGGCCCGTCAGTGGGCGAGCCTGCACCCAAAGTGGCTCTTTGGACTCTGGTCCCCACAGCAGCCTCCCTCGACCCCACCCTTGCTTCTCTCCTCAGTGACCAAGATCTGCGCCCAGTGTGAGATGGAGCACAGTGCCGACGGCCTCATGGAGCAGATGTGCTCTAGCGACTTTGGTGAGTGCGGAGCCCAAGCAGCCGCCCCAACCCCTCCCCCTTGACACACACACACATATGAGCACATAGGCCCACACCCACCACTGTGAACTCTGACAGTGTTTGCTTTATGCACCCCTTTTAGACTGGAGTGATAACCATGAACCCTCTCCCCAGAGAAATGAACCTCTATTTTAACATCATCTCAGGGGCTTCGGACCACAGTCCACAGGACTCAGACACCGTCCCTGGCTGGGGCTCTTGCAGCCCTCCCTTGGCACTGTCCACCAAGGGGCCTCCAGGGTTGGGTTCTTTTGTGGGGAGCAGGCTTAGTTATTCCTTGGCTTCTCCCTGGATGCACACGGAGATGGGGCCCAGACGCTTGAGGACGGGGGAGACGAGCCCAAGGGGCCCCTCTCCCCGCTCAGGACTCCCTATCCCCGCCTGTGTTAGGCTCTCTGTGGCCACCTGGGAGTGTCCTGGGCTGTCCCTCTCTGACCACTCTCGATCTCCAACCACATCCCCCCACAACCCCAGCCACACTCCCACACACACCACAAACCCACCCTCATACACGAAACACACAGCACCACACATGCACACTCCCGCCCGCAGTGCCCGGTCTCGCACAGATGACAGTGGTGTGTTCGCACCAGCAACAGCAGGCCGTGAGCGCGCTTCCCAGCCTTGCGCTCCGCGGTGCAGTGCATCATAGCGGGGTGTATTTACCCTCTGAAAACCAACACATGCTACCGGGCAGGCCCCCTCTGCAGAGCCGGGCGCACTTACCAGTCCACATTCACAGCATGTACGTGCAAACACACACACACAGACTCATACCCACCCATACACACTGCACACCCTACACACACACAGCCAGAAATCCCGTTCAGACACGTCCAACGGTGCCCTCCCTGGAGAGCCCAGCGCTTGTCCCCCATCAAGAGCTCTCTACCATGCACTCCATGTCGGGAAAGGCGTGGGCTCTGGAGTCAGCCAGACCTCCCCCCAATCCAGGCTCTAAAGTTTGGGCAGCTTGCAACCTCTCCAAACCTCATTTCCTCCCACCACCTGAACCTCCAGGAAGAAATGTGATACTGTCTGTGGAAGTCTAACACATGATAGGAGATTCGTAAATACTAACATGTACATGTATAAGCTCCACCTCTCCAAGCCCCAGGCTGGAACCCTCAGGCACAAGCACGAGCATCCTGAGCAAACCTGGCCATTCTCATGCTGTCCTCTGTCCACCCCGCCTTCACACACAGTGGTCAAAATGCGCATCAAGGAGATCAAGATAGAGAATGGGGACCGGAAGCTGATTGGAGCCCAGAAAAAGAAGAAGCTACTCAAGGCGGGCCCCCTGAAGCGCAAGGACACCAAGAGGCTGGTGCTGCATATGAAGAATGGCGCGGGCTGCCCCTGCCCACAGCTGGACAGCCTGGCCGGCAGCTTCCTGGTCATGGGCCGCAAGGTGGACGGACAGCTGCTGCTCATGGCCGTCTACCGCTGGGACAAGAAGAATAAGGAGATGAAGTTTGCTGTCAAATTCATGTTCTCCTACCCCTGCTCCCTCTACTACCCCTTTTTCTACGGGGCAGCTGAGCCCCACTGAAGGGAGCCCCTCCCTGTCCCGCTGGCTGGCTGTGCCTTGCCCCTCTGTTCCTGCCCCTGGGGCGCAGTGTTACCTCCTGCCCCCGGCCTGGTCCTGAGTCCCAGAACGGGCCCTAGGGGATGGGCAAGGAGCCTGGGACTGTTTTTGACCAAGGAGTTCTGGGGTGTCCGAGAGCTTCCTCTCTTTGAAGTAAGGCTTTCTCTTTCGGGGGGAGACCCCCAGGGTCTCAGAATATAGGCAGAGTGGGGAGAGATGGAGGGAAACTTTGGGGGGGGTGGAGCTAGGAGAAGCCCAGGTGGTTTCTGGAGTGGACTGTGGTGTCATCCCCCCTCTGCTGGTGGCAGGGCCCCGCCTTGGAGGGGGAAGTCTGGGTACCGGGCCGAGCTCCTTGAGGATAGTTCTCCACCCCCACCGTCCTGTCGTGTGCCCTCTCATAGCTCCCAAAGGAAAGGCATTAGGGGCACAGTGTCCTCCAGCCACACCTCCTCACTGTCCCCGCCTCGGCCAGTTCCCTTCCCCCTGGACCAGAGAGAAGCCCAGCCTAGACCCCCTCCCATAGACTCGCTTCTTGGGGTTCATTCCTCAGCCCCTGTGTGTCCCTTTTACCTTGATGACGAGTAAATTATTGCTACTGCTACAAGGCCACAGGTACTAAACTGATGCAGGCAGGCTTTGGTTTTCACGTTCCTTTTTTAAAGTTTTTAATTAAATCAAAGAAAATCACAGTTGGTTTTGACCAGGTGATTTCTTTGTCAGGTGGTTCCCCGGAGGTGAGGAGAGGGAGGTTCAGAAGGGACTTGCAGAAAGAGACCCGTGTCATAACCCATGGCCTGTCCACAGAGACATACTCGGAATGCCTGAAGAGCAACATCCAAGCATGTGAGGATCCCCCAAGAGCACGCGACAAGGCTCACCCCTATCATCCCCACCACCAGGGAAGAATGTCCCTGAGGAGGGTCAGAGGTGCCGAGTCCCCAGCCTACCCTCACAGTCAGAAGGCTCCCACATCCGAAGAGCCTCCCCACCCAGGCAGCGCCTGCTCCGAGGCGCCCAAGGAGGCTGGGCCCCACAACTGTTCAGAAGAGCCAGAGGCCTGAACGTACCGCTGCCACACTTTCTGCCCTCGGACACCCCCGTGCACTGGCCCTGACCTGTAGGGGATGACAGCGTAGAACGGGGGTCTCTCAGCGAAGCTCAGGCCCCACCCCACACCTGCAGGATCAGAATCTATAGTTTCACACATAAACCTCCCAATCACCTAAGGAGCTTCCGTGGAACACTGGACCCTGACCTTACTCTAAGGCAATCGGGTCCGAGTCTCCGGAGGGTGTTCAGACATCGGCACTTCTAGGTGCTCCCTGGGTGGCGGGCAGCCGGGCAGAGGACCTCCAGCTGAGCAGGGGCAGGGGAGGGGCGTCCTCGGTGAGCTCAGAGCCGGCGCAGGCTGCTCCCCTGAGCTGGATGGGACAGGGACGGGACAGGCCTTGAAGCGGAGACAACAGGCTGTTGCCAGTCAACTGTCCAGAATTTGGAAGAGGTGATGTCCAGAAAGAATCCCGGGGCAGGGCGTCCGTCAGCAGATGCTGAGGGACGGGGCAGATGGGCCCAGAGCGGGGAGCTGGGGACACCCCCAGGGGGGCTTTCCTCACCAGTGAGAGTTCAGCTCCAGTCAAGGCCAGCTGCTCCTCAAAGACAAAAGAGCCTCTGCTCTCTTAAGGTGAGAAAAGCCTTGGCTTCCGGGGCTCCCCAAAGCGCATGCTGCCTCAGAGAAATGAGAAGGCCAGAGGGGGCCTGGATGCTGCTGTGGGGCCCGGCTGAGCTAACAGGTGGTCTGACAGCCTGCCCATAAATCAGCTCCCTGGGCCGTCAGGTGGCCCCACCACAGGTCAGGGGCAGCAGAGGTCTGCTTGTTCCTCCTCACCTCTGAGGAAGCCACTGCCACCCACCCTCGCCCAAAGCCTGCCCGGCCCACCTGGCTCCCTGAATCCGCCCCTTGTCTCCCAGCCTCCTGCCCTGACCAAATGTTTACGGACACTTCTATGGTCAACCAGGACCAGGGATTATTTTTCCACTGAACATACAGGACTGGGCCTCTTCTGGCCGGAGCACAATGCTGACCTCTGTCAGGTGCTGGCAGCCAGAGAGGGGCAGGCAGGGAGAGGTCCCCTTAGCCCAGCCCAGGAAAGCACTCCTCACCCGCCCCCCATGAAGGGGTCAGGCCTGCTCTGCTCCCAGTTCTGTCCCCCAACATCTGCTGTCGGACCCCCAGCAGTCTCTTCCCAAGGACCACGAAAAATCCTCCCGGAGACCAGGGAGGCGCTGGAGCCCACCCTTCATTTCCTTCAGTCACAAAACACTCCCCCTGGCTGGTCTGGAGACAGGCCGCCAGCGCTGCCAGCGAGCATCTGGGCTGCGTATCATGAATGATTGCATCTGACTGCGTGGAACAACAGCTCCAAGAAACAGCGGGGCTTCTCCACGCTAGGGGTCTGGAGATGGGCAGGGGAATGGTCCGTGTGCCAGACTCTTTCTGTATTCCTGCTCTGCCGGGGGCGGCTTTTGTGCTCATGGTTACAAGACGGCGCTGCCTCCTCCCAGCTCCTCAGCCACACTCAGGCAGCAAGGTGGGTGGGGAAGGGCTACCGGCAAAAGCAGCGCGTCAACTGCCCCTGGCCCTTTCGATCAGGAAAACAGTAATTTCCCAACAAGTCCCACCTGGTAGATTTCCACTTCTGGCTCACCAGCCAGAACGAAGCCACATGACCACCCATAGCTGCAAGGGAGCAGAGGAAGTCAAGTGTTTCAGCTGGGTGCAAAATCAGAGTTCTTTTTGATTTTTATTTGTTAAGATTTTATTTATTTTCAGAGAGAGGGGGAAGGGAGGGAGAAAGACTAGGAGAGAAACATCGCTCTCTTGCCTCTCACATGCCCCTACTGGGGACCTGGTAAACACTCAGAATCAGGTTGGAAGAGGCAGTAAAGCCCAGTTCCAGGTTCCAGTCCTGTGACTTAATGACTGGGTGACACTGGGAACATGGCCCAGCTATAAAATGGAGCAATAATGTCTACTTCACAAGGTAGCTGAGTGTTAAGTGGGAAAATGTACGCAAAGTACCTGGAAACAATGCCCAGCATTTAGAAGATGTTCACTAAACAGTAATTAGTATTTTTATCAACCAAAAGGCCTTTGCCTAGGACAGTGCCTACACATAATATGTGCTTGGTAAATCCCTAATGGACTCCTTAATCAGCTAAGAAACCACTATTGGCAGGAAGGCAAGGAAAAGACAGAAATAGATTATCTAAAAGCCAGAACTGTCACTTTCAGAAAGGGAATGGAACCGACATTTGGAGTTTTGCTTCAGAAAATACATCCCCAGGTGGTGTGTAAGCCAACATAGGGGAAAAGACATATAACAGCAGTAATCAGTAAGTGTCAAGCCTATGCTGGGTGGCAGGCACTACTCAAAGCATTTCAATATCCTCAGTTAAGCTTCCCAACAGCCCTTTGAGCTAGGTGCTGTTATTATCCGCATTTTAATGATGAGGTGGCTGAGGCTCAGAGATGTTTAGGAATTTGTTGAAGGTCACACAGCTTGTACGTGGTGGTGGTGCTAGGATCTGAGCCAAGGACAGGCCAGAGGGGTGCAGGCAGCCAGGCTCCTGCCAACGCCCTGCCGCACGGGAGGACTTCTGGGAGCCCTGCTCCAATCCCACTCCAGGAGCCCTGACAGCAGCCGAGGAGCCAGCCTCAGACTGTGGCTTTTCTCCCGACTCCGCGAGCAGCCCACCCTGACCCCCATTCCCCTCAGCCCCGCCAGCATTCAGCCTCTTGGGTCCCACAAAGGAAGCTCACATCCCACAACTGTTTAGTCGGCTGTAATCCTAGCTAAAGTTCACTCCTTGGGAAACACAACGTGGGGGGTGGTTGCTGCTGGAATGTGTGTGGCTGGGACCCAGTGTCCCAAGCCAGACAGCAGGCTCTGCTGGGGCTGTGAAGAGCGCAGGCAGCCAGGGGAATCCGGAGTCCCCAGCCCCCAGCTGTGCCAGAGAATGGAATGTGCTGCTCTGGGTGTTAAAACAGACCCAGCCAAGGAAAGGGGGCTGCTGGGAGCTGGCGGAGTCGCGGGAGCGCCTGCCACAAGGCTTCTTCTGTTCCCCTGGAGGCTGAACCCACTTGGTTAGGGCTGGGGGTGGGCAGGCCCCTCCTGTTAGCTCCGTGGCTCAGAAGCTCCAGGAGCTACTGGGGGCAAGGCAGAACGGGGGACGGTGACAGGAGCACTATGTTCTCCCAAAGTTTCTCTTATGAGGCATCTATAAGGACCTGTGGCACAGTTCACACCCTGGCCCAGTGGCTTACTAGCTATGTGACCTGGGGCAGGTTACTCAGCCTCCCCAGGACCTCTGTTCACCCACTGGTCACATCGAGTAATAGAACCTAGCCGTGGGGACTTGCTTAAGATTTCAACAATAATGTGCTCAGCATATTGCCTGAGCACAAGTGCTCAGCAAACATCGTTACCTTCAGGCCACCAGCGGCAGGACAGCTTTCCCTGGAGACGGGGTGGGTGGGGGGGGGGGGCGATGAAAATGGAGCTTCGTTTGGCTTCAGCATCAAAGGTGATCACTGAGGACCACAAAGGTCCTAGAAAGCACAGCCAGGTCAAGGTCTGCCAGGGCCTCTAGAAGCTGCTCCCCACCATTACCAAACATGAAAAGATGGGCAGAACCCTCAGCCCAAGCCAAGTCATGGGAGCTGGCAGCCTGTCCCAGGGCCACCCCAGCAGACACCAGGGCTGACGCTGGGCCTGGCTCCTGCCCCCTCCTCCTGGGCGCTTGAGAACTGGAAGGGATCTTTCATTAAGCAGGTGTCCAGCTCCGCAAGGACAGCCTGTCTTCCAGGCCAGCGCACATCCGGCCCTCCTCACGCCGTTGGCACCATCCAGCCCTGATAAACCCTCCCTGGTTTCATTTTCCTGCTGGTGCCTGCCCTTCAAAGTTGCCCATCCCTGGCGGCTGTCCCTGAGGCCCTCACACACCCCGCATGCGAGACGAGGTGGCTCCCCAGCTTCCCTTCTGTGGCACTACCGACCTCAGCTGATGGGAACCATGTTTCTCACGCCCCGTGTCCCATGCCCTGCAGGCTACTTGTGCTACAGTCGGCATTTCACCAACGCAAGGCATTTTCATTTTCTCAAAATGAAATGATATTGACTCTGCTTATTCCAACTATACCCTGGCCTCTCTCTGAGATTCTTTCCTGAATAACAATCTAAGATTATCCTCTAGTGGGGGAAAAAAAATCACTGTTCTAAGCCATCGGGGCAGAGTTGTTTGTTCTCTGAGGATCGCCAAGATGATGGTAACCAACTAGTGTTTACCAAGCGGTTACTATGTGCCAGGCACCGTGCTCCAGCCTCCCATGGACTATCTCATCTGATCCTCACAGCAGCCCTACAAGGCCCACGTCACTAGCAAACCCATTTTACAGGTGAGTAAAGCAGTGCAGACAGGCTTGGGGGCAACGTCCCTGTTGCAACTCACACAGCACTCCTGCAGCCAACGGCAGAGCAGGACCACGGATGGGGCCGGCCCACCGCAAGCGCCCGCCCCTACCACCGCCAGGACACTCCCTGGCTCATGCAGGCTTTCCTTTTTGGCTTTCTCAGAGGAATTAGCTAAAATCTTTCTATTCTAAAGCCTGCATGGCTTAGAGTTTACCAAATTCTAGTCCCACCCAACCCCAGCCCCTACAACTTGGTCACAAAGCAGAGCCTCACGTCAACCCGACAGACACGTGCTGAGCCTTCCTGTGCCAGGCCTGGCCTCCAGCCCGGGCCCCCGCTCACACCCAACCGCGAGCCTCCGCCATCAGGGCGCTGCCCGCAGGCACAGCCCAGGCCCGCACACTCTGCCGGCACGGCGGGATAAAGCTCCCCAGCTTTAGGGAGAAGGTGAGCACAAGGACCAGGTCAAAACATAAGAAGCATGAGGCCTTTTTATTGATAATTCTCCATATACACAGAAGTCCTTTAGTTTCTCTCCAGTGTAAATAAAGCACGGGGTACCTCACTCTCATCTCTGCACAGGGCAAAGGAGCCCGAGGAAGAGGGCATACCAAGGCCTCCTGGTTCCCCAGGGACTTCCACCTCACGGGCCTGGAGCAGCAGGCCCATCTTCCCAGCCCTAGACTGGTTGGCCTGGCGAGGAAGCTGGCCTAGGGTGCTCTTTGTCTCCCCAACCTCCCTCCTGGGTCCCTCCTTCGGGTATAGACACATCCCCACCTCCTATGGGCTCTGAGTGCCAGGCAGCTCAGGGCTCCGGGGAAGCATCCTAGAGCAGGAGAGGCCCCCAACCTCCTCAGCCCACTCCCTGTGCCACAGGTTCCCAGGAACCATGCAATAAATAAATAAATATTCCAAAAAGGCAGGACAGCTCTAGGGGAAGGAAGGGGTGCCTGAGCCTGCTCATGGCTGAGAGACACAGAGCCCCAAAGAGTACAGAAGTGAATATGAAATAGTTGGAGAGAGGATGGGGACCCCAAGTGGCCTTATCCCATTACTGAGACTGTCCTGCCAGAGAATAGCCCTGGAATCTATGACCCAGCCTGGCGAGATCATTTACTTCCCAGGCCCCAAAGGCCAAGGGCTTCAGGACCTCTGCTCTGCTCGCCCGTCTTACACTCTGTGGGACACGGCACTGGGGAGGGAAAACGTAGCACTGAGCCAAAGGACGGGTGCCCAAGGCGCGGAGCAGAGCCAGCAGAAGTGATCTGAGTACCTGGCACCTACCCAGCAGGACTGAGGACAGCAGGGCAGCGTGTGGGCTGAGATTCTCCAAGTCAAGATTTCTGCAAGGTGGGACTGAGGTCTTTTGAGCCACTGCGGCTCCCTCCGTTTTGCTCCAGTTCCACCAGGCCCCCTAGATATGTCCTCCTCTGAGGGAACTTGGGAACTTCAACCCTGTTTCTAGAAAGCTTTTTGGTCTTGTTAGCCTCGGCCATGCCATCTGGTGGGGAAACAGTGAGGTCCTGGTGCCTGAAGGGACATTCAAACAGCAGCCGGGGCATGGCACTCCCAAGCCCTTCTGCAGACTCTCAGAGGCAAAGGGCTTGGCCCAGTACCCAGCATTTCTCGTCTCTGTTCTCCAAGTATTCCCAGCAGAGGCCCTGACCCACAGAGATCCCCATCAAAGGCCAGGCGTGGCTCTCTGCTGCCCTCTAGCCTACACTGCCTGCCAGCCCTGAGTCCACCAAGAGCTCAGGACAGAGCAAGACAAACATGCTGGGCCCTCCAGGGGCTCCTGACCCCGCTGGGGTTTGAGAGCAGCCATTGCTGGCCATCTGCAGGAGTGGGGAACAGCTGCAGAGCCTGGCTGGAGACAGCGAGGGCAGAAAGGGGAAGCCTACCTAGCGTTTGGGCCACATTTGCCCAGCACACGCCACATGGGGCTAGGGATAGGGAGAGTGAGGTCTGTTGCTGGCCCAGGAACCGGCACCTGCTTGGACCCTGTCCCCTCTTCTCACTTGCTCAAGGTCTGGTTACACGAGGCACACACAAACACAGTCTCTCTCTGGGCTTCGGGGGCTGAAAAGGAGGAAGAACTTGGTGAGACGCTTCCTTGTGCCTTCAGCTCATGGCCCCAACTACTAGAACCACCTCCCAGCCCCCAAAGCCCCACAGACCACCCACTGCCCAGCCCACACCCTCGCTGGCCCAGCTCACTAGCCTGCCCTTGGAGGCTTCTCTTTTGGGGGTGACCTTGCCAACGGCAGGCCTCTCCCAGATGTTCTATGCATCAGAAATGATTTTGCCACCAACTCAACACCCTTAAAAATATTTTTTAAATAAAGTACCAGAAGAAAAATTTCCAAAATGTTTTAACAGTGGATATCTCTGGGTGGTAAGATTACAGGATTATCTCTTCTATTTCTTCTGTATAGTAATTTTCCAAACTTCTAGTATAAGCCTATGCTACTTGCATGACCAGAAGGAAAAACAAAAAAAAGCCTTGATTTCTCATTGAAACATTTAATAAGGAACTCTGTAAAATATGTTCCCTTTCTTGAATGTGCATATGCATTTGTCCTTTAGGTACGTTGGTGCTCTACCTTTTGCTTACCTATATGTTTCGTTTTATTTACAGAGTATATACAGCTTTTATAGAAGGAAAAGACATTTTTCTTTATTTTGTTAAAAGTATTAGTAAAGTAATAAAAAGAATGAAATTCAGGATGGTGGTGTCCTCTGGGAAGGCAGGCGCGGCGCTGGGGAGCCTCAGTGGTGTGGCTAACGCTGACCTTTTTTTTTAAGATTTTATTTATTTATTTATTTTTAGACAGAGGGGAAAGGAGGGAGAAAGACAGGGAGAGAAACATCAATGTGCAGTTGCTTCTCACATTCCCCCTACTGGGGACCTGGCCTGCAACCCAGGCATGTGCCCTGACTGGGACTCAAACCAGCGACCCTTTGGTTTGGAGGCCAGTGCTCAATCCACTGAGCCACACCAGCTAAGGCACTGCTCTATTTTTTAACTTCAGTGAAGCAGTCAGAGGTTTTCACTATTATGCTTCATAATTCAGATATATCGTAAACATTCTTCTACCTGCATCAAATATTTCAGTTTTTTATTTGTTAAAGGGTGATGGAGATGTCACTATAGGCCAGACTCGGATGCCAAGTTCCCCTGGTCTCGCTGACCCCTCACTTTTATCCCATGGGGCGGCACCTCCCCAGAGGAGGCGGGAACCAGCCAAGCCCTCCCACTGCCCTGACCCCCAGCCGCCTGCCCCACGCACCTGTGGCCCCCATGGAAGACTTGGGCACCTTGAAGGAGCAGCACCGGGAGCAGAAGCTGTTTCCACAGTTACTGCAGCTCCGCTGCCAACAAGAGCCAAGGTCAGAGTCAGATGCATCCCCAGGCCCACGCATCTGAGTCCCCAGCACCCCCTCCTCTGCACCCACGGATCCCACCCCAGGAACCTGGGACAACTAGGGGCCCGGGGAGATGCCCGGCGGGGCAGGACTGAGACCCAACAGGACACCCTCAGGGAGACTTACCCTCTTCTTCAGCACTGAGAAGGTGGCCGAGCAGCCCGTACAGCTCCCTGAGAAAGAGGCAGCAGCTCAGCCTTGACCCAGCCTGGGCCTCTCAACAGCCGCCTGCTCCTGGGTCCTCTCAATGGGGACACTCAGGACAGCAGCCCAGCCCAGGCTCCTTGGGCGGGTGCAGTGAGCAAGGGAGCCAAGTCCAGATCCAGAGGCAGAGGAAGGAAGCGACGTCTCCAGCCTACCCAGAGCGCCAGTCCCTGTTTCCCCCCCCGGGGCTTAGAAGCCCCACCTGCAGGTCCAGCCGAAACAGAGGTGCATCCAACAGAATCTGCCCCCGGGAACCCAGGCCAAGCTGGCGGGGGCCTGACAACAGGCACCCCTTAGAGGAGGCAGCCCCAACGACCTCAGATGAAACCTGTCTGACGCAACCCCTTCCAGAGTGTGCCCTTACAAATACTCCACCACAGGTAAAGATAGAAAGGCCTCCTAAAACCCCAGACCCTGCCTTCTGTCATCTGAAGACTGCAGGAGAGAATCGCAGGACCAGGCACCTCCCAAGAAAACATGCAGAGTAAGAGATGCGGGCACCGTGAGTGGCAGGCAGGATGGGGCGCAACAGAGCTGGGGGGAGATCCTGCCTGAACAACCAGAGATGAGAAGGTGACAAAGCTTCAGATAATGACAGAGGAGTCAATGGCAGGTTAGAAAATGGCTGGGAGGAGGCAAGGAGGATGTAAGAAGAGGTGGAGGATAGGGAAGGAAGGGACAAATCATTCTTACAGAGGCCATTTCAAGGTGAGTAAGTCTACTATAAATGTTCTCACCTCCCGACCATGCCCCAGGAAATTAGAGATGAAGAGGTGAGAAGGTGGGAAATGACACAGTCTGGTGAAGGGGCTGCCCGAGGGTGAGTGAAGAGAATCAAAAGGATGGAGGCAAACTGCGCTCTGAGACGGCGAGGAAAGGCCACACCGGGCCCTAGGACTTCAACAAGCTCCAGAAGCAAAAGCAAACCCTGACGAGGACCAAGAAGGATCCAAGGGCTGCCCCCAGGAGCACTGACTGTGGTCCAGCACAGATACCTGTGGGTGGGGGAACCGAGCCAGGGGAGAGGAGGCAGGGTCCACAGCAGGCACCAGGGTGGCCCAATAGGGAGCAGAGAGCCCTGTTCCCCCATGGGGCTTAGTGGCCTCACCTGTGGCCTAGGAGGAAGGTGACTTGGGTCCTGGAAAAACTTGAGAGGGGATAAGGCTACTGGAGGAAGTTTCCAGAACTTGGGGCCCAGAGGCCGCCTGTGATCTGGCCAGACCAATAATCAGCTTCAGGGAGCACTGCTGGGCCTCCTGGACCACCTGTCTGGCCAGGTCCGGAGCACCAGGCCTCACCCTCACACGAAGACCCCAAAGCTATAATGACAGCTACATGTGGCCCCTTCCTCCATCCAGCCAGAATCCCCTGCAGCTCTTGTTAATGTTTATGCCCTATGTTCAAGGAAAGGGGGACGCAGCTACCCCCCTTTCCTCAGCAAAGGAAAGGGCAAGGAGAAACCTGAAGCCAAGGTGCTTAAGGTAAATGTGTTGCTGTCAGTCAGGTTGTGGCCCCAGCAGAGGACAAAGAGAAGAGAGCAGCAGGTGTTGCTGGCTGGTGATGCCAAACTGGGAAACAGGCTGCTCCAAGCCTCTGCCCCAACACTAAGGATTTGGGCGAGGCAGCCTGCCTCTGCTTCTCCTTAGCAAGGGCAGGGGGCGGGGGAAGGGAGATGGGGAATCGGGGTACAGGACTGCAGAACGGAGCTGCTCAAGGACTGGCACCCTGGCCCGTGTCTGGGGATCCCTCTCTACTAGACAGAGTGCCAGGGCCAGGCACCCCAAGGCAGCTACACCGTCTAGTGAAACACATGCAAGCCAGGCACAGCCTGGGGCCCGGGAAGGCTCTGGGTGCTGACACCAGCTCAGACAGGTGTATGAAGGAAGAGAGCACCCCGTTCCCTTCCAGCATCTACCAACTCTCCCTGCCCGTATTCTCGGGAAGGTCCTGACTCACCACGTGAAGACGCCACGGGGGCGACTCAGCAGGGAGTGGCCCGAGACGGCATGGGCACTGCCGGGCCGCAAGGATGCCGGAGCCTCCAGGACAGAGGGGGCCCTTTCCATCAGGACTCTCCCACCTGGAGGCCAGGGAGACCCGCCTGAGCAGCCTGTCCCATTCCTCCCCAGTGCCCCCTCCATCCCCTGGCAGCCGGAACAGAAGGGCCCCCAAAGCCACTCACCTCACCTTGCCAGCAGGAGCCAGACCCAGAAGCAGAGCTGGAGGCCTGCGCTCCCAGCCTGAGAACATCTTGGGGGAGGGGCCACAAGCGGCCTAGAAGAATGGGGACTAAGGCAGGATTAGGAAGAGAAGCATTTTCTGCCCTTGCCATCCCCACAGGAACCTGAAAGGGCCTTCGCCCACCCTGGCAGGGATTATGTGAACCAAAACCAAATACAGAAACGAGCAGACATCAAACCAGGGGCAAAGGGAGGATGAGGAGTTAGAAAGAACACAGAAGCCAGATCAGATGGCCTGGATGTGAATCACAGCTCGACCATTAACAGGCTGAAGACTTTGAGCAAATCACTCTTTTCACCTCAGGTGACTCACCTGTAAAATGGAAACATCTAAGGGTCTTTACTTAAAATCCACAGATATAAGCAAATTGTTTCCCAGAGCTAAAGTATTAATTCTTACGTAGCATCACTTGGGACTTCTGGAACCTGCTGCTTCTAAGCCCATAAGAACTGGCTGCTCCTGTCTTCCTACCAGCAGGACCACAGGAAGCAGCGCACCGAACGCCGGCGCACAGGTGCTCTGGAGATAGCAGCGATCATTTTAAGTAAAAGGAAGGGACCTTGAATCCTGGGGGACAGTCATGTGGCAGAAAGCAGCAGCATGTCCAGGACAACTACTCCTGAGAAACCAGCTGCCCTGGCTGCTGCAGGGACAGGAAGGCAGCCCAGGATGTCCTGGGTCAGGCCCCTCAAGATAAACCCAGGGGCTTCTCCCGGGTCATAGGCCCTAGAGGTCACTCCTACAGGACCCAGAGTATAGCCCCCTCATCCTCCTCCCTGGCCACTGACACCAGGCAGAAGCAGGGCTCTTCAGAAGTCTCCATCTGACTTAGCTCCCGCTCTCCCGGCCTGAGCCAGGATTCCATGCCGTGCCAGTTGAGTCCACCCTTCTCCAAAACCGCCCTCCTGGACCCACCACCAGCCCTCCAGTAAAATAAGAACTGGCCAGTCTATGAACTTGGCTGGGGACCTCTGGGCTCCATCATGCCCAGAGGAAGATACTGTTTGCTTTAACTTGCATCCACCTGGATAGGAAAGATCCAGACAGGCTGCTCGGCCCCTACAAGAGGGACCAGGGCCTCTTGTATTAACAGTGCCCCTTATTAAACACTTACTATGAACCAGCCAGCACTGCGCAAGCACTTACTAAGCATTATCTCATTTGAGTCCCAAGACAATCCTGTGAGATAAGAACTATTATTATCCTCCTTTTACAGAAGGGGAAACTAAGGCACAGAGAGGTGAAGTAATTTGCTCCAAGAGACCCTGTGGAGCTGGGAGTTGCACCAGGCAGTGAGACGCCACTCTGTTCTCAGCCGCTGTGCTACACTGCCTGCTGAGGTGCTGCCCATCTCTCTCTGCAGTCCAGGGGGCGTATTTCTGGAACCTAATTCCTTACCTTCCCATGAACTAATGCTCAGTAAGGACAGAGGCACAGGAAGGAACCCACACTCACTCTCTCAACAACCTGCTATGTGTTTAATACCTTCCCGGGGTCCCACAGACACCATGGCACTCCTCGCTCTTGTCACAAACCAGCACCCACAATTCCAAGACTCTGGCCCTGTGGCCGGGCCCCCGCCCACGCCTGTGCCCTGACCGTACCGAAGTTGTTGGTGGGGTACCGCTTGCGGAGCCGCTCTGTGAGCCGCGACACCTTGCTGCGCAGCACTTCGTTCTTGCTCAGGAACCCATTGTCCTGCAGGGCCAGCTCGTCCTCTGCCGGGCACGGGGCGCCCTCCTCATCCTCCTGTGGGAACAGCTGCCTCCAGTCCTGCCCACCGTGTGGCAGGGCCCCAGCGCCTGCGTGCAGCGCACCCCAGCATGGCAGACCCCACAAGGGGTGGTGGCAGCTGGATCAGCCAGCCTCCCCCGCCCGGCCCCTGCCCACCTCATCAAGGCTCCTACTCACCAGGACCACCAAGTGGGTCTCCTGCCTCCCAAGGTGCAGGGGAGAAAAGAAAACAGAGAGAGAGATAGCAAGAAGGAAGCTGCTGCGAGGGGGACCCCAAGCAACAGGACACACTGAGGTGCTGCTAAGAGTTCTAAGCATGTCCCAAAGGGTGACATTAACAGAGGCCCCTATAAAAGGATCCCAAAATCAAATAAGCTTGGGAGAAGCGAGGTACTGCTTTTCAAACTGGGTGAAATCAATTAAGTGGGTCATTATTTTATGGGTGAAATTAATAAAATGGGTCATTACTTTTATAGAAGAGAAGAGCAAAGAAAATATCCTTCATAATGTATTTTTTTAGGAAACTTGTTTCAGTGAACCTTTACACATATTACAGACATAAGTGTGAACTGGGCCAACATGCATTCCTTACTGTGGGTTATGAAAAAAATGCTTGAAAGTTCCTGCTATATCAACTCCCAATGACCACTACCCCCGCCCCCCCCCCCCGTCAAGATCCAGAGCCTACGATCATATATTAAAGCCTCGGAGAACTCTTTCAGCAGCTGGAAATACAAATGCCTACATGGGTCGGGCTGATGTAAAAGCGGATGGGTTCAGTGTGAATCACAGGCCCAGCAAAAACTCACAAAACCCCACTCCTTATCTCCGTTTCCCACTTTAAAGAAACACAAAGAGAAATGATTTCCTACTTTAAGAAAATAGCACAAATGTGACAAAATGACAACTGCCACTAGGAGTCAGTGACTGGAAAAGATAGAGAGTGGTGGGGACGATGTGACTTTTCTACAGGGGACAGTCGCTTCTCAGCTACACTGACCACTGCAGACTCGAGGCTATCAGAGCTTCTGATTTTTCAGGGAAAAAAATGAAAACCCAGAGTTTTCAGAGAAATCTCCCCGTTTTTAAATATTGGCTCAAAGAAATTTTTAAGGTTTATATGCCAAATAAAACACTGCAAACTATCAGTTTGAATCATTGTCTTAAAATCAGAAAAACTAACTTTCTCTGAACTAGCACTTGGCCCTGCAACCACTTTCTCTAACCTCCCCTCCCTGCTCCCACAAAGGGGCACCTTTCAGACCTCATTCTGCATGACAGCCGTCCGAGACCCACAGCAGAGCCCTCCCCTAAATCTGCCTTCCCCGCATCAAGGGTGCCACGTCCACAGTCTGCAGCCACGGTGGTAAAAGACCCACCGCCCCCAGCAGAACATTCCCCCGAGGCTTCCAGAGCCATCCCTGCCCTGCACACCCAGGGCGGGTCACTAGATCAGCAATAGGACAGGCAGAAGTTTGGTAGCACCCTTTCATCCAGTGAGACGTAGCTCAGATCAAGTTTCAGCTTCTCACTGGATATAGAGAAATTTAAAAATCCAGACATGGGATGTGAGAAGCCACACAGCACCAGGACCACCCAACATCTGGCCTGGTCAGCGGAGGGTGCTGGGGAAGGGCCACCCACCTCGATCGCATCTTTAAACTCCTCATCAGGCTCAGCCTCCTCGGCCTCCTCCACACTGCCTGGCGTGAGGTCCTAGGAAGAGAGGCTTCATTACAGAAGGAGAGGGACAGCAGCCCTGGCCCTCGAAGCAGAGGCCCCATCCCCTGAGCCAGCATCCGGGTTTCCCAAACCTTCTGTTCCTGCCCCAGAGGAAATGGCACAACTGCAAGAAAAAAAGAGGTCATGGGAAAGAGGCACTCTCTGACCCAGCAGGGACAGGAGATGGGACCCAGACCACGCTGGACTGCAGGGCTGCACAGTCCCATGGTCGACGGGGCGCCCTAGAACCACAGGGCCTGGTCTGAGTCCTGGCCATGCCACCCGCCAGAAGCTACCTGTGCTTCAGCCTTCTCATTGTCAGAAATAACCTACATACCTCATGGGGTTAATATCTGTAAGGTGGAACAGCAGAGTAACTACTCAATAAAGCACAGAGTGGCTATTATTACTACAATTATTCAGCACTTCAGAGGGGATGAGGCCTGGGAAGAAACAGGAACTACACAGAGGCTAGCCCAGGACCTATGTGGTATAAACAAGCTGGTAATAGGAAGGCACTGGAACCTGGTCGAGCAGGCTCTGCTCTAACAATGGGGGATGCTCACCTCTGTGGGCGTGGGCACAGGCGTGCAGTCTGGTAGAACGCTCTTCCCCCCAGCATCTAGGGGGAGTGGGCTCTGGAAGTCACCCTCCTCCTGGCCAGGTTGCATCCGCCGCTGCAGAGATGCCCTGTACTCAGACACCACTACCCAGGGAAAGGGGTGGGGTGGGAGGCAGAAACAGGATGGAATGAGCGATGTTTTGGGGGTATCCACTTCTGCTGCTGGCCGGCTCTTCCTCCAGCACCCCACCCACTGCTGCAGGAAAGAGACACCCTCCTAATTCTGAACAGGTCACCTAACCTAGCCTCAGGAACAAAACAGAGATACCATCACCCTCCCTATAAGATTGATATAGAGAGATTCAATGTAGTAAGTGCTCAATAAATTAGGCATTCTGTACCTAATTGCCCGACCACAGCAAGGAAAACAAATCTAGCCATCAGCCAAACATATGTGCAGGCCCCAGTGTCTGTGACTCAGGGCCTCTCCAGGCTGCCTCACTGCTTTAGAAGCCAGATGGCAGATGGGGACTCTGGGATCACATACAGATGTGGCAGCCACTTCAGGGAGCTGTATCCTGACAGTCAGATGGCAGCACTGGGAAAACATCCCTCCCAGTCTCAGAAAGGCAGAGGGACCCCTACGGTAGCAGCTTATCAGCCTCCCATCTCCCACCTAACATCTCAGATAGGCAGAGCCCAAGAGAACCTGTCGGTGCGCTGCTGCCCCCTCATGGAAGGCACAGCAAACAGATGACCAGCTGCAGAGAAATAAACCAGGAGCCCATCCCTCAGGCTCTCCAGGGCTTACCTCGGAAGAACTCCACATTCCCTAGAAAGAGTGTGCTGTTTAAAAGGGCAAACACCCAGCACAGCGGCAGCAGATACAGCATGCAAACCGTACCTAGGAGAGCCCCGTAGAACCTGGATGGACAGAGGAACCACAGGATCAGAAATTCATAAGGAAACGATCTGGAGCAACCCACATAGGGGCTGGGCACGAAATAGCTCTGGACAGCTAATAAACTGACAAGACCTGTCAACCAAACAAATGGACAATAAAGCGAGAAGGCAGGCTTTACAAGTCACTGGTTGCTAACAACAGACCCTGGTGAGGCCGCCACGGTGGCTGAGGCCATGTGAACTGGTTCAGCACTCATCACTCCTCAGGCTCCAGACTCACGTCTAGAATAAGACAAACTTGGCTGCAAATGCAGCTTCACCACCTCTCGCCGTGTTTTGTTAGGCAAGTCCCTTGGTTCTCTGCATGCTACTTCCTTCCCAGGTAAAGTAGGGATTAAAATAGTGCCTGCGTCCTAGAATTACTATGAAGAATGAGACAATACATGGGAAGCATGCTCAGGGCCTGACACAAGGGGAAAACTAAATATTATTTATATGTAAAGGGCCTAAAGAACATTCCTTCCATGCAATCCAGTAGTTCCATCCTTGAATTTATTCTAAAAAATGTTTTCAAAAGATTAAAACTAAACCCATAAAAATGTTCACTGTAAGGTTAGTAATAAAAGTAAAAACTGACTAAATGTATAATAGAATGGTTCCATAAATCATAGTATATTCACCATCAATATTAATGTGGTATTACAATAATTTCAAAAGCCATGCAGCAACAAAAAAAACCATTTATGGTATTTAATGGTAAGTGAAAAAGGAAACAAACAGAATCACACATACTATGAAGTTAGAGCGTACACGCATACGACGAACTCTAGAAGTCAATCTAAACATGAGATCAGCTGCTGTATCAGGATGGGAGATTATAGGGCAAGTTATTTTTCTATTAAAATATTTTTACCATATCTAAAAGGTGTCTACAGAAAAGCAGTGCCCTCCCACCTACAAGCCTATGCACAGGGTCTTTCTTCCCCTGAGCTAGAGGCGGCTGGCTCTGCCTGGGGCTCAAGCGGCAAACACCCGCAGGGCAGTGGTGGGCGGGCGCAGGGGGCCACTCACTGTGAGGACACGGCCGGGTTCTCCCAGTGCAGCACTCGGTAGACAGCTTCACAGGTGCAGCAGAGGCGGCTCAGGAAGGCCTCCAGCTGGATCAAGCTGCAGGCACAAGGGGCTGCTGTGAGCTGTACACCCTGCCCCTCTCACCCAGGGGCCTGGCAGAGCTCTGGGGCAGCAATGCCTAGGGCTTCACCGGCACAGCTGGCCAGGGATGGCCAGTCTCTTCAAACCCTCTGGAAGGGCCAGAGAGCACAGGAGAAAATGCAAACTTTCAGTCACCTCTGTGGAACCCCTGCTGCAGTGGACAAAACAGGACAAAGGTTTCTGCTTGGTCTGTCTACCTATTGCTGTGATGCCAGTTATTTACCTTTATTTAACTGGGCTGCTGTTTTCCTCTATACAATGATGGGCAGGGCGCCCACCGCACAGATACACTGGAGCTGTGAGGATAAATGGCAGGAGGGAGACAGGTCAGTGCGTCTCCACCTGGCATGTAAGGCAGACTCCCTTGGAGTGGGGGTTTTTAATGGCTGTACCGCAGAGCAATGCACACAAGCTTGTGCAATAAGCACCCAGATCTTGGTTTATGGAGGGCTCCTTGGAGAAATGGCTGATTCTAGAGCTAGGGCAGGGAAAGTATAAGATCAGTTTGAACATCCTACTGTACCATAAAGTAAGGAAGCACTCAAAAATGGTGGGGGCATATCAAAAGAACACAGGCAGGAGCCAGTTCAAAAGAGACCCTCCTGGCCAAATCCAGGACAATTTGAAATAAAATAAATCATAACATTAATGGATTATAACACTTTGAATTAAATTTTAAAATCTTGGGTTCACATGGATAATAAGTAAGAATTACACCAGAATGCCAGCTAACAACGACAACTGGAAAAATCACCTTTGAGACCATCCTAGGAATAAGCTGGTGAAGGCAAGACCTGTCAATGGATTTGAAAGCAGTAGGTAAGCTGACTGGTGGGGCTCAGGTGGATAAGGGGAAAGGTACATAAAAGACCTTATTAATACAACTGGTAAAATTTCATTATGAATTCTGTATTAGATAATACAAATGATAATGTTATCAATGTAAATTTTCCTAAATTTGACTACAGGACTGTGGCTACATAAGAGAATGTCCTTGTTCTTAGAAAATACAGGCTGAAGTAAGTATCTAGAGTAAACAGGTATAATGTTTGCAACTTACTTTCAGATGGTTCAAAGAAAAAATGTAAATTGGAGAGAGACAGATACAAAATGTAGCAAAGTGTTAATAATTATTCTGAGTAAAGGACATATGAGAGTTCTTTGTATTATTTTTGCAAATCTTCTGTAAGTTTTTGTTTGTTTTGTTTCTTTCACAACCTCACTTTACTAAGTCATGTATGGGCTTACTAACTACAAGTAAGTATTATACCATCTATACCCTACTAAAGGTTGAAACTATACATTCCAGTTGACTTTAGCTTAAAATCATCTCAAAATAAAAAGTTTATTTAAAAACCCAGATACCCAGGCCCCACTCCAGATAACTGATTCAAGATTTTCTGGGGGGCCAGGCCTCTGTTTATAACTTTTTTTTTTGGAAGCTCCACAGATGCCTTTGCTGTCGAGGGTGTGTAAGAACCCTGCTGCAGGTCAGGAAAGCCCAGCTCAGGGAGGGCTCACTAAATGGCAGCTTCCACTGAAGTTATGCTAATATTATTCAACAGTTATGAGGTACTTCCTCTTTGGCCCTGGCCAGGTAGCTCACTTGGTTAGAACAGCGTCCCAACATACCCCAAGGTTGAGAGTTTGATTTCTGGTCAGGACACATACAAGAATCAACCAATGAATGCATAAACAAGTGGAACAAGTCACTGTTTCTTCCTCTCTCTCTCTTCTCTCCTCTTCTCTCTCTCCCCCCTCCTCTGTCCCTCTCCCCTTCCTCTCTCTAAAATAAACATTTTTTTAAAGTATCAACTGTCACATTCAAGAAGTTTCTCCACCGTGCAGTGACAATGGCTGATATTTACTGAACACGTCCTGGGTACCAGTCATTCGTTTAATCGTCACACCACTTATGAGGTAAGCCTGTTATTGCCTCATTTAACTGACAAAGAACCTGAGGCACAGGAAAGCTGAGCAACTTGCCCAATGCTATACAGCAAGTAAACGTAAGAGCTGGGATTTGAACCCAGGCAGTGGCTCATGCAAGCGCATGCTAAGTCAAGGCCCTCATCTGTCTCTTTAGTGAAAAGAAGACAGGCTGTGGAGCCACCTGGACCTGGATTCTCATCCCGGCTCGGTCAATCTCTAGCCAAGTAAGCCCTTTTCCTCATCCATAAATGAAGGATAACAACAGTAGCTACCTCCCAGAACTGTTAGAAAGATGAAAGGAAGTAACATCTGTGGCATGCCTAACACAATGCCTAGCACACCCAGCGTGGCGGGAGGAGTTACTGGGATGGCCCCTCACCACCCTGGCCCCTTCCATACTCACAAGCTCTTCACCTCAGCCACAGCCTCGGGGCGAGACAGGCGAACTCTCTGCAGGTCCTCCTGCCTCACACTGTGATACTTCCTCCGCAGCAGCTCAGACTCGGGCAGCCGCGCCCGGCAAGCCTCCTGCAGATAGCCCAGCAGGGCGGGCACGGAAATCACCAGGGCTCCCACCGAGTACCACGCGCCTGTGGGACCAACGGTGAACAGGCAGCAAGGATCAATCAGGAGCCTCACCCACACGCTCGCTCCCTGACCGCCCCCAGGGCTCGGTGGGAAACAGTGTCTCCCCTTGCTCTCCAACCCGACCCCAGCTTTGTTTTATCCCATCGAACTTATCACATGACAGATTACAGGCATGGCTGCAGTCTCCTCCACAAACGCAGACTCTTCAGGGCTGGCACTTTGTCTATGCGGTCATGCTATAGCACTAGACCCCTGTTTTTACATGAAAAATCGTACGCTGGCATACGGTAGGCGGTTCATGCCCGGAGTCCGGCTGCCGGGGGCCTCCCGCTGACTGGCATTCGGACCTTTGGGCCCCTGGGGCAGACTGGAAAGCTTTCCTTTGGCTTTTAGGCTGTCCCAGACCACTATGAATTGAAAAATGGTGAAGCTGAGAGGAAATCCAAAGGCACTTTGGTACCCTTGAGGCAGGCTAACAGAGTACTGGGCACAGAGTAAATGCGTGTTAAATATCTGTCATGTGAACTGATCTACTTTGGAAGTATGTTCAAAAAAACTTAACAGCCTAGGAATGATATTTGAGTTTCAATCAGGCAAAGGGCCCTACTGAGAAACAACAGGCGGTCTTATGTGAAATGGGTTTATTTCAACCCACTGGATCCATATATCTCCCCAGGAAACAAAGGAGGCACTTGAGCAATGCAGGTTCCACAGAAGAATGAATACATGAATAAAGGACCCAGCTCCTCAGAACAGTCTGTCCCAAATCCTTCACTCATTTTCCCGAGGGATTCGGCTTTTTTTGCAGCTCTCTGCACATGTAAGTGACAGGTAGCATATACAGAGTGGATACACTGAACAAAGGGATAATTCCTGCCCAGGGAGGGACACAGCAGGGTGGCGAGAGATTCCATCGGGCTACGCAGACTGGCACTCAATTTAAACCTTGTAAGTTGCTTATTTCTGGAATTTTCCATTTATATTTTTGAAAATATTTTTAAAACCTGTGCTAGCACACAGGTTGACACCATGGAAGGTAAAACCATGGATTATTATAATGTAGCGGCTGCCTACTGTGTGTTAAGCACTGAGCTAAGCATTATACATAGATCATCTCATTTCTTCCAACCACCCTCTAAGGAAAGCACTTACCATCCTCCCTTCAGAGATGAGGAAAATTAGGCCTTAGGTCATAACTCCAGACCTGCTGGGATTCTAGCCCAGAGTGTCTCTCTCTCAAACCCGTGTTTTGACGTAATGCAGAAAGAGGAACCAACTGTAGGGCAAGACCAGTGGCTCCTTCACACAGGGCTGCTTCTCAGAATTCCTCCCCACATTCATTCACAAAATAGGGAAAAAAACAGCTCTGAAAGCAGCACCTACCCTCATTCAAAGTGAGGAACAAGACGTTGAGGCCCAGGCAGGTCAGCAAGGAACACAAAGGTGTCTGCCACCTACAACACAGAGAGCATTCTAGTCACTAAAAATGAGCGGTCACTCATCCAGGTGAGAAGGGGAGGCTGAGCCAGCACCAGTGAGTCATTAAAACCAGGAGCAAGAGGAAGGGGCCTGCCCTGGCTGGTGTGGCTCAGTGGGTTGAACACCAACCTACAAACTAGAAGGTTAACAGTTTGATTCCCGGTCAGGGCATATGCCTGGTTTTCAAGCCAGGTCTCCAGTTGGGGACTGTGCATGAGGTAACTGATCGATGTTTCTCTCTCTCTCTCTCTCTCTCTCTTTCTCCCTCCCTCCCCTTCTCTCAAATAAATAAATAAAATCTTTTTTTAAAAAGAAAAGGAGGCGGCCTGGAGTTCAGGGTGTCAAGGAAAAATGAACAGGGGGTCTCACTTGGCTAGGTGACTGGGAGAGGAATTAAAGTCACATATTAGGCCCTGGGGTGAGAAAAGATATCTTATCAGAACTCGAAGACCTATAGAACTTTTCCAAGGAGAAAAAATCCGTAACATTATCTCTTAAGAAGCCTAGTTAGGAATGCACTTTCCCTTTCTACCTGAGACTGTGTTTCCCTGGTTGGAGCTGAAACAGCGAAGATGTCTTGCTGGAGCATAGTGGAGCCGACGAACGCAGGCCAGAGCAGGCCAGCGCGGAGCAGAGACCAGCCAGGGCCAGGCAGAGCTGTCCAGCCAGGGAGGGGACTGGCCCCGGGGCCGCCTCCCAGCCTGCTGTTTTCACAGCCGTGCTGTATCACAATTGACCTGTTTTGCCTGGATAGTTTCCTTCTTCACTGCACCCTAAATTGAGGATTCCTGTTGGTGTTGAACTGGTGCCAACAACCATCTGTTGACAGTTGTTTGTGTAAATCCACCCAACCCTGGGGCACTCAAAAGAAACATACTTAATATCCTTTAACCTGTGTTTTGTAAGGTTCTATTCTATTCTCTTTAAAAGGTGACAATGACAAACATTCTCCTCAAAAATTTTCATTTATTTTTTTACTGAGATATAATTTACATATAACATTGTTTTTTACAACTTCATAAGTATATACACTCACTGCACGAAATTCTTTTCTTATTTCGGCAATTTAAACATACAGTAATTCAAAAAGAGAAAAATATTTTAATATATTAAAAAATGAAGACAAAAGCAGGGAGTAGCATTCTCGCAGCAAACATGCCCTGAGTAACCAGGAGCAGAAGGAAGCAAACGCAGACCCGTCTCCCACCATCACCGCCTAAGGGCGAAGCAGAAGCCTCCCGAAGAGGGAAGGCCAAAGACTGCTGAGCCCCAGCTGCTGAGGACAAGCAAACACTGCTGGCTTAGTCCCCAAAAAAGGCATTCAATAGGAACAAAGGAGCAAGGATGTAGTAATCAAGACACTGACACCTACAGTCTAAAGAACAGCGTCAGTATATTTAAGGTCAGCCATCAGAGGAAAAACAAATAGAAAAATGAACAGGTTAAGTTGCTGGCAATCAATGTATTCAGAACTTAAATGTATTTTCTTTTGCTCTAATTGGGGCATTTCAGAATTACTAAATGAGGTTAACTATTTTATATGCTGCTTTTATTTCTTAACAGTTATAGCAAGGGAATAAAATGACCTCTCTCTGCCTTTATCTCAAAATTCAACATGCTCCAACTGTACCGCCCCAATTAGACCTCCAAACCACCTAGTGGCAGCTACCAGGGTAAAAGCAAATTAAAACTCAGGTCTAAAGCCAATCCCATTTCAGAAATAAGAGCATCACACAAACACTGAAGTCACTTGCATTTTAAAGCCTCTCCCATTCTACCTGTCTTCACTGACACTTTGGACATGGAGACCTACCTACCAGAGTAGCTGATCCCAGAAGAGAGGAGTCTTTTAAAAATGTGCTGCAGCCCTAGCCTTCAGACCTAACAGTCATAGCTCAAGATTAGGTCCCTCTTCAAAGCCAAATCCTCTTTACTGAGAAAGGAACAATCAAACGTACAAACTAACCTGACGGCCACTTTCACAGACCAGTGCTCTGTCTCCCAGCAGCACAGAGATCATGAGCTCCTGAGAGCTTCTCCTCCGTCCAGCTTTAATCAATCCCACCACATCCTCAGATTTCTGATTTCATAAAAGGGAAAAACCCTAACACATTAATACCAAGAAGCACTATATATAAACCAGTGGCAAAAAGAGACAGGCACAATGTTTTTCACTTTTGTGTTTTGCTCCAAAAGGGCAAAACACACACACACACACACACACACACACACACACACACACACACACTTACATACATATATACATCTGCACTCATACATGTGTATACCTGCATACACAAAGTAGAAAACATCAGCACAGCCCCACGCTCTCCAGAACCCACCCCTTTGCTAGAGAAGACTGAAATTCATTTCAGGTAGTTGCTTATGGTGAGATAATAAAATGAGCCCCTCCTCATACTATCTCACTATCCCATGCACAAAAGTACAGTGATCTAACAGTAGAGAACATTGCTCTGGGACATTGACTAACTCATCTCCAGAAATAATGCCATAAATTAAAGGGGTTCCAGGAAAAAGAAGAAAAATGAGGGCCTTGGTTAGAAAGTTAAAAATAAACTGCCCACTATTTCCACACTGAGGTAAGAATGATTTAGCAACAGTAAGCACCCTTCGAGGTTAACTCAACGGCACTCACTCTGCCTCCTACCTCTCTTGAGCATCTTAAGAGAGTTGAAGGTCTTTTATGAGAGTATGATAAAATTAGAAGCTTCTCCCTAAAAATATATACATGTGCCCACGTACGATTTTTCATTCAAGTTTAGGAGCTTCATATGCCCCTAAAGCCAATTTCACAAGCTCCAGGGTAAGAATGCCTCCTCTTTAGGAAAACCAGGTTTTATGTATTCCCATTGAGATGCAATATTAAGAACACATAACTTTTGCCCTGACTAAATGGCTCAGTTGGTTGGAGCACTGTCCCATGCACCAAAAGGTTGCAGATTCAAGTCCCAGTCAGGGCACATACCTAGGTTGCAGGTTTGATCCCTGGTTGGGCACATAAGGGAGGCAACCAATTGATGTTTCTTTCTCTCTCTCTCTCTCTCTCTCTCTCTCACACACACACATATACCCTCCTTCCTTTCTCCCTAAAATCAATAAACATATCCTTAGATTAGGACCGAAAAAAAAAAAAAACACCATAAACTTTGTAAAAAAAAATCTTTTTAATTGGAATCTAATCTAACCTTTAGAACTAATTTGCAGTTTGCACCATTAGGACGCAACCAGATATATCTAGGGAGGAAGCTCTCCAGAATTGTAAGCTGAGTCTCTTCAGCAAGTCACTGTTATAAAAGAAGAAACCATTTTAGATTGAGAAAGACTTAAGAGACAGAGTAACCACAAAGAATGTATAGTCCTGGACTGGAACCTGATTTGGCCAAAAAAACTGTAAACGATATTCTTGGGACAACTGAGGAAATCTGAATATGAACTGGGTATAGGAAGAAATCATGGAATTATTGTTAATTTATATTAACTATGATGTTAATTTGATTACAAAAAAAGTCCTTAGAGATAAACAGAAGTATTTAGAGAGTGGGATGGCACATATCTGTAATTTACAATACTTTAACATAAGATATAAAATGAGCTGAAAGGAGAAAAAGAAAATTATGGATGAAAATCAAAGCAGAATAGGAACAAAAAAAATTTGATACCCATAATCCTAAAGGATTAGTGAAAATGGTGCCAGCTTATTCAGGGATATTTATATGTTTAATTTACATTCAAAATTATATCCCAGTTTTAATATCAATTAAGCTAATATTGGATGGGAGAAAACAGCCTGCTCTAGATACAGAAGCCCCAATGTTCAAGGTTAGCTCACAATCCTGAGGTATGAGCTTATTCAACCACCAAGAAGAAACCCTGGTGAGAGGCCAGATGGTTCCCAGTGCCTGCCTCTCCACAGGATGGGCCTGGGATAAGCCCAGAGGCCCAATGAACCTCTCAGAACCACGTTTCATTAAGGCAGAAAGGACAGCCCAGCCACTGCCTAAATGGCCACGGCAACTACAGAGCAGGAAGGCAGGCCAACTCTACGAAGTCCGTACCTGAGCAAATACCGGACACCGTCACCTGCATCCTTCAGGGGTTCCAGGTAGATCTCCAGCCTCTTGTAGGACAGAACCAAGTTGAAAAGATCAAACGCTGGAGACTTGGCAGGGCCAGGTGGAGACTCCAAGGGAGCCTCAGGCATCACGCTGGGGCTGGCCTCAGACCCACACCCATCACGCTCCGAGGACTGCATCCTGTAACCAGAACAGTTCCTGACGTTTGCGTCACACTTCCAACGCCCAACACACTTTTGCTTGCAGGATTTCATGCCGTGCCCACAACGAACTTGTGAGATAGGCAGGGCTGCAGGGGCAACGTCCACCTCACAGGGGAGGAAACCAACATTCCACAAGGTGAGATGAATTACCCAGATAGAACACCCTGCTCTTCTGACTCTCGTCTACTGTTCTTTTCCCCACAGACCCAACAAGAGTATAAACTGTAAAGACCAAGCACAAATGACTGCTGAAGGGAGGCAGTCTGGGGTCTGAAGAGAACTAATGTCCTGAAGTATTTTTCTCCCACTCTTTATCTGGTTAATTCCTACTCCTTCTTCAGGTATTTGGCTTAAATATCACTCCCTTGCTCTGAGAAGTCTTTGCCAAGACCTTCAGTCTACCTCTCCTGAGCATCTTAGAGAGACCCGACTAGGAGACCCTTCCCAATTCTCCCAAAGGATCATGTGCTCACCCTCACACAGCATTTATCACACCAAAGTTAACACTCCCTGCTTTCTTCCCAAGCTGCCCCCCTTAACTTTGAGCTCCACCAGGTGAAAGACTACGTCTTCCATTCACAACTGTTGCTGCACGCAGTGGGCGCACGGGGAATGAATGACCTGCCCACCCCCCAGGACCCCAGTGCCTTCTCTGGCACTGCCCAGGTCTCTAACCCTTTCCTCTCTCTTCTGTTCCCAACAACTTCCCGGACCATCCCTGGCCACTACCCTTCCCTTCCCCCAACCCTTGAACCCCACAGAGCGGTCAACACCTTCCGTTCCGCCCCATCTCCCTTCTCTGATGAGGAGAGCCACAGGAAACTCTAACCCTCTTGCCCAATTTCAAAGTCCTACCCAAACGCTAGGCAGAAAACAAGGGGGCGGAACCTCGGCGCCCAGCAACTTGAACCAGTCCCAAGCAATGGGTTGCAATCTAACTGCGAGGTACGAGGGGGAGAATGACAAAGGGGCCACCGGGAGCCCGAAATCCCCGCCGGCCGAGCTAGGGACTAAAGGACCCAGGGGCGAGCGCGAGGCAGGAGCCCAGGCGGGGGTGAAGCTGGACGGCGCCGGCGGGCCTGGACCACGACGCCGGCAGCCCCAGGAGCCAGACAGACGGGGCCCTGCGGCCCAGACCAAGGAAGGCCACACCTAAGGTCTCCATGAAGAGGTCTGCCTTAAGGTCTGCCCCCAACTCCGCACAGTCATCAGAGACACGAGAGTGGGGAGGGGGTGGCACCTGACCTACCCGGTCGCTGGGTTGGGTGAGGGAGGGGCGGGACGGCCAGGGGGCACTGATAGGGCCGCTGGGCCCGGAGCGTTTCCCCAGGCCCGCCCCACCCCGACAGTGCGCCTCTCTCCAATGCCACTCAGAAGCCGCGGGTCGGAGAGCCTGCTCCACCTCCACCGTCGCCGCCACCGCCGACGCCACCGCTTCCTCTAAGTGCTCTGCGGCGGCGTGCCCGTGACGCCAGCGCGCTCGCCCCGCCCCCGGCCCGGCTCCCTGGTTTAGCTCCGCCCGCTCCAGCGCAGGTAACCGCGCTCGTCCGCACTGCGCCTGCGCGCTTTTCCCTCTGCCGGGCCCTGGCTCCGAACTACCCTGCGCGACCACGATTCGGAAAATCCTGCAGAGCTCTTAAAGCAGGAGCTTCCGGACCACACTGCCTCCGCCTCGTTCAGAAAGACTCCTGCAGGAAACAGTTGGAAGGAAGATAAACTAAACAATTTAAGCCTATACATCCTCCTCCTCCAACTTTGGTACTTAACTCCTATCCTGGGGACCGTGACCACAGGAAAGGCAGAAACCTGTTTGCCTCCTGGGCCTAGCAGAGAATACCATTCCGTTCAGTGTTTCCTGAGCAGCTGCTGTGCGCAGGTGCTTGTGCAGGCCTTCCCCAACTCAGTCCACTTCTCACTGTGTTGTCCAGTTAATCGCCCTTAAAGCACACACCTGATGGCTTTGCATTAGTAATAACGCTAGAACTTATTGAGGGTTTACCAGCCATCAGGCACCGGACTGAGCTCTCTATAGGCGGTACCTTAGCTAGTCGTCCTCCAACAATTCTTTTAGGGTTATCTCCATTTACAGATGAGGAATCAGAGACAAGTTAAGGAATTTCATCAATGTCACTCAGCCAACATGCAACTGAAAACTTAATTTGAACCTCATGTGTCAACCGACTCTGATGCACCCAGTCAAATCGCCACACATCTTAGTCTTAATTTACTGGCCTCATTCCCAGTTTACTGAAGTCATTCCCTTCAAGAGTCTCTTAACTTTACCCAACTGAACCCCTCTGTTGCTTGGGCATTGCTTTGTGCTGTGAATTTGTGAAGGAATACCATTCCCTCTTGTTTTGGTCCAAATCCAATCCTTCTAAGCAGGAGTTAAATATCTGTACCCCTTTCCTGATTGCCCCAGCTGGAAGCAATCATTTCCCCCTCCAAATAGCCAGAATATAGACAGATTCCCACAGGGAGTAGTCCTCCTCGTAGGGGGAAAAGGAGGGATATGTTCCAAGACCCCCAGTGGATGCCTGAAACCCCAGCAGATAGTACCAAACCCTAAATATACTGTTTTTTTCCTATACATGACTACCTATGATAAAATTTAATTTATAAATTAGACACAGTAAGATATTAACAATAATATTGAATAATAGAACAATTATAACAATATACAATAATAAAAGTAACGTGAACGTGGCCTTTCTCTCAAAAATATCTTTTTGTTCTGTACTCACCTTTTCATTTAAAGGAAGCATTTTACAGCTTCTCTTTGGTATATTTGAATCACCAGCATCATTATTCTTGCATTTTTAGGGCCATTATTAAGTAAAATAATGATTATTTGAACACAAGCACTGTGATACCAAGTTGATCTGATAACCAAGACAGATAAGTGACTAATGGGCCAGTAGCATATGCAGCGTGGATACACTGAACAAAGGCATGAGTCACATTCCTGGCAAGACAGAACAAAACAGCACAAGGTTTCATCATACTACTAAAACAGCACACAACTTAAAACTTATGAATTATTTATTCCTGTAATTTTTCACTTAATTTTTTGGACCATAGTTGACTAAGGGTAAGTGAAACAGTGGAAAGTAAAAAATCAGGTAAGGAGGGCTACTGTACACCATTAACATATTCAGAAACATCCCTACTTGTTAAAGAATGGGCTTGGCTTTGTGGCTGGCCCGGACTTGTCAGCTGGACTCAGCTGCATCTCTTTAGGATGTGTCTAGAGGAAGTACAAGAGAAGAATTTTTTTCTTCAATATCTTAAGTCCCTGAAATACCACCATCAGTAATTTACTCCAAAGGTAAATTTCATTTTTTCCTCCGTGGGCCCGCCTGGGCCACTGCCCTCAGGCTGACTGTGATTAGTTGTAGTATTTGTTCTTTCTTCTGGCAACTATAGAATGGAGGGATATTATTCAAGAACTCTTAGACACTTGGCAGGGAATGGGGAGGTAATCATTGGAAGTTACAAGAAGTCTCTAAAAACCGGAAAGAACCCTGGCTGGTGTAGCTCCATTGGTTGGAGCATTGCCCCATAATCTGAAAGGTCACAGGTTTGATTCCTGGTCAGGGCACATGCCTAGGTTGTGGGTTTGGTCCCAGGTTCTGGGTGCCATGAAAGACAACCAATGAGGATGTTCCTCTCTCATGTTGATATTTCTCTCCCTCCATTCCCCTCTCTCTAAAATCAGTAAGCAGGTCCTAGGGTGAGGATTTTTTTTTAAAAAGCCAGAAAGGAACAACAGTCATGGCCAACATCCATGAACAAAGGCTCTCTGGTAATTAGAGATTGGTCAGCTGTACTCCACTTTCTGGGGTCCAACTCTGATTTTTATTTTAATATTTATTATTTTTAAAGAAAGGGGAAAGGAGGGAGAACCAGAAGGAAAGAAACATCAACATGTGGTTGCGTCTTGTGTACCCCCTACTGGGGACCTGACCTGCAACCCAGGCGTGTGCCCTGACTGGGAATACGAACTAGCAACCCTTTGGTTCACAAGCCGGCACTCAATCCACTGAGCCACACCAGCCGGGGCTAACTTTTTTTATAATCAAATTATCTTAGTTCCTCCTTTCCCTTCTCCAATCCTCTGAGTCTTCATGCTTTCCCTCAAATCCTGGTTTTACTGATGTTTTCCCCTGGATAGCAGATAGGTGGAAGAAACTAAGGGAGAAAATAAAATAGTAAAAGAGGATAATTAATAACTTAAATTGATGTTTTTCAGAGGTTAGTCTTTGAATTCTATAAATGACAGCGTATATGGCCCACATATTGCCTCATAAAGCTCCCTGTGGCCCTCGGGAGAAATTCTAGAGGGAAACACTGGGTAAAACAAGCCAGAAAAATAGGAGTGGAGAAAGAAGGGAATGTCTAAGCACACTTTCCTCCACCAGATGGCTCCCTTGTGCACTCTTACACAGACCTTGGCGTTTCCAAAGCATCTCTTGGCTGTGGCCTCTCAGGACGGTTCACATTATACGCATACCATTATGCTCTGCTTTATTGCGCTTAACAGATTTTTTTTTTTTAACAAATTGAAAGCAAGACCTTCCATGAGTAAAAACATTACGACTCACTTTATTGCGGTGGTCTGGAACTGAATCTTAAACATTTCCGAGGTATGCCTGTATACCAGATCTCTTTATGTTTCTCGCTGTATAAGTTATCGCTTGCTATGTCAGAACTTATTTCAAAATGGTGTGGCTTAACACAATAATAAATATATATTATCTCACATTGAGTTTTGGCTTTTGGGCGGTTTTGGTCAGGAAATCACGAGTGATTTGGTGGGCAGTTTTGGCTCAGGGACTTTCAGGCAGTTATGGTCAGATGTCGGCCAGGGCTGCAGTCTGTCCTCCATGATGGCCTCCTCACATGGCAGGCGAGTTGATGTTGGTGCTCTCATGCTGACCAGCTGGCAAGAGATTTTAGTTCCTCTTCACTTAGGACTCTCCAGAAGGCATCTTGAGCGTCTTCGTGGAGTGGCAGTTGACTTCCCCCAAAGTGAGAGATCCAAGAGGGTGCAAGGCAAGCAGCCACAAGGTCTTCTATGATATATCCTCAGAATTCACACTATCGTTTTCACAATATCCTATCAGTTTCATGAGTCAGAACAATTCAATGTCCCAGTGCATAATGGAAGGGTTATATGAAAGAACGTGACTACCTGGGGCCATCCTATAGGCCATCTTGGATGCTGGCTACTAAGTGCTGTCAGCTAGAATACCCTCCCCTCCCCTGTCCTCCTGCTCACCTTTTAATACCCAGCTTGAATGTGAGGGCCTTTGTGAGGCCTACTCAAAATAATTCCTCCATTTATTTATGCATTCATTGGTTGATTCTTGTATGTGCCCTGACCAGGGATCGAACTCTCAACCTTGAGATATTGGGACGATGCTCTAACCAACTGAGATATCCTGCCAGGGCTATCACCTTGCATTTAAATCTATCTCTTGAATGTGATCATTTCCCCCTTTGTGCTGAGTTTCTGAGAGCAGGGAGACTGAGGCTTAACATCATGGCAGACCCAGTTTCTGCCAAGTATAGAGCCTTGGCATAGTGGATACTCAATGAATGCTTGCTTTAAAATAAATGCGTAAAACATAAAATAACAAATATTGGTGGGGATGGGGAGAAATTAGAACCCTTGGGCACTATTGGTGGGAATGTAAATGATGCAGCCTCTATGGAGACAATATGGCAGTTGCTCAAAAAATTAAACATACTAATTCAAAATAAACATTACCATATGATCTTGCAATACCACTTCTGCGTATATACTCAAAAGAATTGAAAACAGGGTCTCAAAGATGTATTTGCACACCTGTGTTCATGGCAGCATTATTCACAATAGCCAAAAGAAGGAAGCAACCCAAGTTTCCATTAACGGATGAATGGATTAACAAAATGTGGTATGTACACAAGTACAATGGACTCTTATTAGTCAGCCTTAAAAAGTAAGTAAATTCTCACACATGCTACAACATGAATGAAACTCGAGGGCATCAATTATAAGTGAAATAAGCCAGTCACAAAAAGACAAATTGTATGACTTCACTTTTATGACATACCTAGACTAGTCACATTCACAGAGACAGAAAGTTAAACAGTTACTAGGGGCTAGGAGGAGGGGGAATGGGAAGTCAGTGTTTAATGGGTACAGAGTTTCAGTTCTGCAAGATGAGAAGGGTTCTGGAAGTGGATGAGGGCAATGGTTGCACAACAATGTAAACATACTTAATACCAATGAACTGTGCACTTAAGAAATGGCCCGAGATGGTAAATTTTGCCACAATTAAGTAAATAAGAGAATGATAGATAAACCAAGTGTGATATATCTATTCAATTAAATATTATTCACCATAAAAAGAACAAAGTATTGATACATGCCACGACATGGATGAACTTTGAAAACATG